GAAGCGGAAATGATCAACAAAAAAAAAAAAAAAAAAAAAAAAAACGCAAATAAATCCGCGATATTTCCAAAGACATTTTTTTTTTTGCCAAATTTAGAGTTTTTGGAAGGCCAGTTCCCGCCGTTCTAGTAGATGGATTTTCACGAATAAGATTTTATATCATCCGAAACGTAAAAAACCTTACTGATCGTGGGTACCCATATCATTCAGTTTACAGATCTCAAAATTTGGCCCGAAAAATAGTTTTTTTTTAGAAATTTGATCGCACAAAATTTTCACCTTCGGATGAGTATTACTCTGAAGCTGTGCATACTACATACACAAAATATATATCAACTTACTCAGATGCGTATAAAGCTAGAAGTAAAATTCAAAAAACACTCAAAATCGAGTTTCAAAATGTCAGCATCATTTAAGGGAACCCCACCCATTCTCGATTTTAATTTTTCAAGATTTTCAATGGGCTGGTAAATCAATACCAATGCTTGTAAAGTTTTGTAACTTTGCACATATATATTTGTAGATTTAAAGAGAAGAAAAATAATTTACAAAAATTTTTGTTACTGTTTTTTGTAATTAAAAAGAAGTCCTTATTTTTGATGGCGGGCATGATAACTCCTCATTGGAACATCGGAATCCGAAAATTCCAACGGTGTTAGAAAGAGTAAATGTCTGGCCCTCGTATGAACTAGGATTATTGACTTTGCTCTAAAATTAACAAAATGGTGGACCTTTGAAAAAATATTTTTGGAATATCGGCAATTTTTTACCAAAATCAAGTTAAAAAATAAGGAAGATCTTCACCGATTGGCTTTATCCTAGTTCATACGATAGCTATACACTCACAGAGAAGCGTGTAAAAATTTGAAATCGATTGGGATATTAGTTTTTGAGTTATCGTGCCCGCCATTCGCAAAAGAGAAAAACGTGTTTAAAGTTTGAGAAGCCCTTCAGCCGTCACTTGATGCTGACACAATAAAGCGGCTATATCTTCAAGAGTTCTTGAGACTTTCACTTGAAATTTTGCAGGGACATCATTGAATTAGTGTGGATTCTAATTAAATATATAAATATAAAAAATATAAAAATAAAAAATTTTTGACCCCGAGAATGGGGGGTCCCCTTAAAGTAGATGCAGTTAACATTTTGAAAAATGATACATAAGGGGCGTAGTCCCCATTTTGTTGGCTTCTAGTTTTACTTTGACACGAAGACCGTGAAATGAGTGGCTTAATCACAAATCGATAGAGGCCATAAAAAACAGGTTCGCCTCAACTTCTTTTTTCACATTTTTTTTTACATTAAAGTAGACACAGCTTCCACCAAAATTAAGTTTGGAGGTCAATATCATGAACAGTTTGCAACGACAGACCAATTATACTTAAGTAATTCCCGAGTTATAAAGGGGTGGAACTACGCTTCAGCTATGTTAAAAAATTGGCAATATTGCCATATATATGTGTGTATTTCACATTAAACTTATTTAAATCTTCGGTTTAATTTTGAAATTTCTTCTGAAAATTTTAATGTTTTCACATTGTTAAAAGTAGGAAAAAGTATTGTCGCTACCTTTTATGCCGCTTATTTTCTAAGGCTTCCTTTTTAATTTGTATTAAATTTCAGACACAACTGAAAAATTTGTTATTGTTGAAGTGAAAAGGATTCTTGACCCATAATTACTTTATTACTGTTTTTTAAATACATCTCTTCTTTCTCGTTTCCTTCTGTTTTTAAGATTCTTCCTTTAAGTTACAAAAAATGCAAGAGGCTTCGTGTTCAAAAGGAAAAAATATCTCGGGTTACTTTATTCGAAAAAACCCAAAAATTATTTGAATGCGTAATTATGTACATTGTCGGGCAAAGGAAGCCACATTTTTGAGGAGAAATAATTTTCTTTGTCGACTGTTTCGCAAGCATTTAAGTTTCGTGACACCATTTAAACGGAACATTTTATTTTAAGAAATGCCCAGAAGGATATACCCGTGTTGGCAGCATAATTAATTGTGACTTTTCTCTTCATTATATTGTGACAATGTTAAAGGTCATGAAAATATTTTAAATAAGTGGCAATGTTTTGTTAAGGAATTTCAATGTACAAACATCAAATCATTGACAATTGTGTCAAATGAGAGGGGGAGAGAGAATCAGCAACTAGCATACTAAGTTGGTAATTAAAATGCCTAGAATATTTAACATTTGCTGTAGATACGTTTGAAACTGGGAATATTTAATTAATTCGGAATATTCCAAATTTCAATAAATTCAAAATCTATATTGAATACTTTAAATATAAATATAAAACAAATTTGACTTTACAATGACCTTTTATACTTAAATTTAAGATTTTTCAAAAAGTTGACTTAATCAAAGTGTTTATTGAACGGCCCATACATGTGTGTGTGTGCGTAAATAATCAAACTCTTCTATGTTAATGTATAGTTTCAGTGGTAAACTCTATGGTCCATTTGCGGTTTGGCAATTACATAATTGACTCGGTTGATATAATTCTTCCGTCTGTTGTGGTAACATCTCTGTCAAATATTTTTGACCGCTCCTCACAGTTGCAAATAAAATGAAAATGTTCGGTAACCGACTAACAACAAATATCATTGAATGTTAACTTTATGAAATCAAATGGATTATATTTTTCATCGAACTAAAATTTTCAAATTTTATTTGAAACCCGCGTCGCAGTGGCCGAAAAATGGCTCGTGAGCTGAACATATCGCAATATTCCATTCGGCAAATATTGAAAAATGAGCTCGGGGTAAAGCCATTGAAATTCCAAAAAGTGCAAGAACTTACACCGCAACAGAAAGAAAAACCAGTAAGGAAAGTAGTAAAGTCGGGCCGACTATATGATACCCTTCACCACTTTGGGTATATTCTACATATGAATCCGAAAAGACGTTTCCTTTTTGAAGGAATTTTGACATGAAATTGAACGAACATAAATATGTGATTTTTATGTCTTTCTGAAGCAAACTTGCCAGATATTAATTTATATTAATTTCAGTACGTTGTATCAATCGACCTAGTTGTGGATCTTTAGTGCACAATTTACTTAAAATCGGACGAAAATATATCATTATAGACTTAATTCAATACGCTATGCCAAAATTCGTGCAAATCAAACGATTTTCAGAGACTTTGGTGCACCATTCAAATAAAATCGAACGAAACTTTGTATGGAAGCTATATCTAAATCAGAACCGATTTTCACGAAAGTGAGTACACGTCATTCTAGACTTAATTCAATACGCTATTCCACAATTTGTGCAAATCAAATGATTTTCAAGGACTTTGGTGCAACAATTACCTAAAATCGGGCGAAATTAATATGGGAGCTATTTTTAAATCTAAACCGATTTTCACGAAACTTAGCACACAACAGTTTCGTGAAAATCTTTAAATAAATCTGAACCGATTTTCACGAAACTTAGCTCACATAATTCTAGGCTTAATTTAGTACGCTATGCCCAAATTCGCGCAAATCAAATGATTTTCAGGGATTTTGTTGCACCATTTACCTAAACTATAGCACCCCATTTACATTAAATCGGACGAATCTATATATGGGAGCTATATCTAAATCTGAACCGATTTTCTCCAATTTCAATAGGGTTTGTCCTTGGGCCAAATAAGTGACATGTGCCAAATTTCATCCAAATCGGAGTGGAAAAATACATGGACGGACAGAAGGACATGCATAAATCGACTCATATTCTCAAAAGGAACCATGGGTCTATCTCGATTATTTTTGCCTGTTACAAACATATGTAAAAAGACATAATACCCTGTACCACAGTGGGGTGAAGGGTATAAGGACTCAAAAGAGCTAAAGAGTTGCTTCGCTTGGATGAAAGTGGTGAACTGTCGAATTTGGTTTTCTCCGATGAGAAAAAATTCGTTGTACAGCAGTTTGTAAACAAAGAAAATGATCATGTTTACTTGCCAAAGAGGTCAGCTGAAAATGTGCACCTTCAGTTGGCCACCAGAACTTAAGCGCCGGCCATGGTGATGGTCGCTCTACGCTCGTATTAATCGACCGTGGCATCACAATAAATGCCGAATATTATCGTGAAAATATTCTGGAGGGTGTATTAAAGCCTTGAGCACACAAACATCTTGGCCACAGACCTTGGACTTTCCAACAGGACTCAGCATGCACCACCCAAGAATGGCCACAAAATGAGGTTCCTCGCTTCATTTCCAGCACACAATGGGCACCAAAATGTAAAAATTATGGCGTTTGAATTTGTTGCAGTTTTTTTTATCTCACCCTGTATAAATTTGAAGAATTTGTAATTTTGTTGTCATTGTTTGTGATTAAAGAAAAGTGAGGGCACATTAAGTTGGAAAGGCAGTAAGGAAAGTATTAAAGTAGGACGGTACCGACTATATGATGCCCATTACAACATTGGCTATATTAAAGAGATCGATCCTAACAGACCTGCATTTTTTAAAGGGTCATTGACATGAAATTGGACAATATTCTAGGCTCAATTTAATACCTTAACACATGTTAGGATATACTAACTTTAGAACGTTGTGCGAAATTTGGTATCAATCGAACAAACATGAACAGTTTGGTGCACAATTTACTTAAAATTTGTGGAAAATATATATATGGACTTATAGGACTTTAGTAAACCGTAAAAGACGGCTAACAAATGTGTCCAAAATCAAAAAATACCGAATATTATGAGAGGTCTGGCCCGAAATTTAGGTCGATATTAATAATTTCTAGTACAGAGATGTGCTATGCAATGAGAACCCAAAATACAAAATTGCAGCCAGTTCGATGGAAAAAACTTTTCCAAAATACTGAATATTGGCAGGCAGCGTTATGTAGGAGCTGCACCAGAACGTAAACCGGTATATCCCATTTGCAATACCAAGCGTCCTAGAAGTACTATTGCTCTATCTTAATCCTTTGTTGCCCGATTTTTTCCTTAAAAATAGAACAATTTTCTGTTCAGAGATTTAATGCAACTATCCTAAATGGAATATGAACAAAATTGACATAGTTACATCCTTGAATTCGGGATATACAGTACATTATACAAACGATCAAAAATAATTCTGATGACAGAATTTGTACAATTCGAATACGAAGATTTTTAGATTTTGACATAGGAGATCCAAAGAATGCATATCTACTACCAGTATAATAAATAAAATATCTAAAACATTTTGTTGCTTGTGGGCAACATTGGGCCATAAAGGGTTAAATAATTTGGACTGTATACACAAATTAGTACTCTTCCCTATATTGAAGGGTTCATAACTTTACCAAAAATTGTATGTTTTTAGATTTTTCTTTTGATATGTGTCGTCCATATCAGGTTTTGACATATAAAATCCAAAGAATATAATTTCAACAGATAGAGGGTTACGCATAAATCGACATCGAATTTTCTTTTTTATCGAGAATATATATATATATATACGTTATGGGGTCTTCGAGGTGTTGCAAATAAGGACCGGTTTAAGTTTTCCAACTAGTGTGTCTGTAATTTTGTAACAGTATTTTTCGGAGCATCAACAACCTACTGGCACAACAACAACCTACATGCATCACCCCACGTGATTAGGCCCGTCAAAACTTAACGATTTTTTACATGCTACAATTTATTTTTTTTAGGAAACTAAATAAAATGTATGACATGTGTTATACTAAATCCTAAAAATCCTTCTCTAAATATATGTAAATAATAGCAATACAATTTACAGTGTCCACATCCACGTAGATGGACTTCAAAAAATAAATTACCTGATATTCCATTTCAAAACAAATGGATTTTGTAATGCAATGCCGCAATTGATAATCCGTATCTGTGTAGTTGTAACAGCTCAACTCATCGATTTGTTGTCCAACTTTGATGATGAACAATGGTGTATCCTTTGTCCGCAAGCCCTCTGTGAATGGAATTGTTTGCGTCAACAAAACAAAAAAAAAAACTTTTCATTTTGTTTTAAACCAAAACCATCGCCCGGTTTGTGTAGAACAACAAAAAACAATTGGATGGTAGAGTAACATTTTCATTCGTAAACAGAATAAATCGAATTAATCCCCATAATCTCTTGGCTCCGCTTGTGAGAGGGAATATTCTCGTATATCAAACAAAAAATGTCACGTGGCATCAAAATATTGCATTTTTCTAAATGAATTCAAAGAACAGAGGTTAGTTAGTGTGAACGATTTTGTTTTAACTTTTTGTTGAATACCAATTTCTTGGGAAATGTTCATTACAAATATTTAATTGAAATTTTTGTGAAAAATAATGGATAAATGGACGGTTTAAAAATTGGAAGCAGCGGAAAATGTGTACATCTATGTATGATCTTCTTAATAGGCTATACCAATTCGCTCAAAACAAGATCAACTCAGATCCGCTGCCAAAGTTCGTCTAAATATGTATGGGCTGATTGGTACTGTCTCCTTGCGATTGACCACAATTTGTCATTCGGATTACGGACGGGACTTTGTAAAAATTTTGCACACAAAGATATTCTCTCATGATTTTAATCGTATATCTAGGCTTAACATTCTGCTCAAAAACTACTTCTTCCACAGGAAATGTGTTCTTATCTACAAAAACCGGGTGATATGAGTCTTCAAAGCACTCAATAGACTTCTTTCTTTATTGTATAATTGACGCTTCCTCCATCGGGCTTCACGTTTTCATCAGAAACTGTTGAATTTGGATTCGTCTGGCCCGATCACACGATTTCAGTCGACCACTGTTCTACTTTTTGGCTGAAAAATTTTTACTCTGACTTTGCAATATTTTCCGATAATACCGCCATTTGGTTCTTTATTTCTGCTATAAACAAAGTCTCGAAGGGCTCTTCACGCCGTCCACTGATTATGCACCATTTGAAAATCGAGTGTCTGAAGCGGTCTAAAACCAATATTACGATGAGGCAAATTTTGGAGTAGCAAAGTGCCATTAGCAGAAAGGCCTGCCTTGTGGCAGGACTTTAAAAAATTATTGTTGAAAAAATCCTCGGCTTGTCAGAGGTCCTAAAACATATTTTTGAAAAAATCCTCGGCTTATTACAGGGCCTAAAATAAATTTTTGAAAAAAATATATATTTTAAAATCTACTCATCAGGATAGTCTCTGAAAAAATATTGTTAACCAGTAAGGAAGGTAGTAAAGTCAGAGGGGCCGTCTATATGATACCCTTCACCATTATGGGTATATTAAACGGGGCTATTAACATGAAATTGGATGAAATAAAATATGTGATATTTATCTAAATGCGAATCTACATAGATCTATCTATAAACACATCATTCGTTTGTTACAATGGGACAAAAGTATGAAAGTCGACTTCAAACAAATATCAATTGGTCATCTGTTGGGCTATGTCTGTACTTCTAGAAAACGCAACTACGTAATTCTATGCTCAATTTTGTACGTTGTGCAAAATTTGATGTCAATCTGACTAACATGAGGAGTTTGATGCCCAATTTAGTTAAAATCGGGCGAAAATATATATGGAAGCTATATCCAAATATGAACATGAAATCGGACGAAACTATATATGGGAGCTATATATAAATCTGGACCGATTTTCTCGAAACTTGGCAACATCACTCTAGGCTCAATTCAGTACGTTATGCTAAATTTCGTGTAAATCGAAGGATATATGGGGACTTTGGTACACCATTTACATGAAATCGGACGAAAGTATATATGGGAGCTATATCTAAATCTAGACCGATTTTCATGAAACTTGGCAGACATCATTCTAGGCTCAATTTAGTACATTATGCGAAATTTGGTGCAAATCGAAAGATATATAGGGACTTTGGTGCACCATTTACATTAAATCGGACGAAAGTATATATGGGAGCTATATCTAAATCTGGAGCGATTTTCACGAATCATGGCATACATCACTCTAGGCTCAATTCAGTACGTTATGCCAAATTTCGTGCAAATTGAAAAATATATAGGGACTTTGGTGCACCATTTACATGAAATTGGACGAAACTATATATGGGAGCTATATCTAAATCTGGACCGATTGTTCCTAATTTCAATATCGTTCGTCCCTGGGCCAAACAAATGAGCTATGCCAAATTTCATCCCAATCGGATTTTAAATGCGACCTGTACTTTGTTTACAATTTAAAACCAAAGCAAGACAGACAGACAGACGGACGGACATGCATAAATCGACTCAGAAAGTGATTCTTTTCATATTCTCAAAAGGAAATATGGGTCTACCTCTTTTCCTTTTGCCTCTTACAAACATATGCACAAACACATAATACCCTGTACCACAGTGTGGTGAAGGGGATAAAAACCTACGCATCAGGATAATCTCTAGAAAATATTTTTAAAAATCTACGCATCAGGATAATCTCTAGAAAATATTTTTAAAAATCTACGCATCAGGATAGTCAGAAAAAACATATTTAAAAAAACTACGCTTCAGGATAGTCTCTGAAAAAATATTTTAAAAAAATCCCCGTCTCATGATAGTCTCTGAAAAATATTTGTAACCAACCCACGCCTTAGGATATTGCCTGAAAAGTATTTTTAAGAAACCCAGGCATTGGTAAAGGTCCTTAAAAATTAAAAAAATGTTAGAATAACAGGAAGTGGAGGTAGGCATTTCTATTATTTTTGTATTTATATATGAACTAATCCAGATCAAATTTTCCAGAAGATTCTTAATTGAACTGGTTTCACCATATAAAATTTTAAAGCGATCGGATATACCATATACATTTTTAAAGCAAACTGTGTCCATTGTGTGACTTCGCAATAAAATCGGGTGAAATATATATACGAAATATATATATATATATATATATATATATCGGAACCGATTCAATATTCTGCAATTCAAATTTTTCAGATGCGCTTATATGCGTGTTATAAACATACAAAAGAAATTTGAAAGCTCTACCGATTT